GATTAAAATTGTTGAATTGTCTTAATTTTTTAACAAGCGTTTCGTATAAACGGTTCATTAAAATTTTATTTAGAATATTATTTACAAGTAGATGGATGGAACCTAAAATTTAAAACTAAACAGTATTTACACACTAATAATAACACAATTTGTAAAGGCCCAATACTCAATGAAAAAGAAACTATTGAATTGATAAAATAATAGCGGAAGCAGTTATTGGTTTAGGGTTTACATTCATTTCACACTAAATCAGAATGTCCAATAGGGTTATAAGAATTTTATACTTACTTTTTAAGTTCTTAATTTGACTTGTGAAGATAACAATCAATATAACAATTCATTACACATTCCAAAGAACAAACTTTTTCACCTACCTACCGATATTTCTGGAGGTCCATAGGGGTTCTCCCTATTCGTGGACCTAATATTCAATTTATTGATTAAACTAGTCGTTTCTATACTCCGTCCGATAATGGGCGTCAAACGTACCATTACCTCAATACCCCATCCGTTATAAGCATAAATCAATACCTCCTAACCCCTTTCGGTATGAGACTTATCAGCCCCGTTCGATTGAAATAATGTCCACCGTAGGATTGCTCTATGCGCCGGATTCGTACACCTTTTTTCATGATACCTGGTAAACCCTTTAGCAAAAGATTCACATCATCTGTTAGTCACCATTCACACACAACCAACTCATTCCATATTTACAGCACAATAGAGCGATAATACACAGACAATATGAATTAATAAATTAACAACTAAGGGAGATATGATCAAGACATTCATTGCAAACCAATTTGCAATTAGAAACAAAACGGGTAGATGAACCAATAAACACAAAAGCAATGAAAATCAATCAATTAAAGTATACGATTGTAAACAGTAAGCAATTCATGCAACTTAGGAACAAATAAGCAACACAAATAAGATAGGACAATTGTACACTGATCGATTTCGTCTCCACTGATGACCTGTAATTAATTTAGAGATTTTTATTTTTTTATATAAAAAACACCGTTATTAATTATTAAATTTTAATTTACCGTAATGGGAGAAAATAGTGAGGAATTTTTACCCCAAGTCGATGTTTGAAATACTGTCTTTTTCATTGCGCTTCCGACAGTTTTCAGGTTTCCTGAATTTTCTTTGAGGAAATCAAAAACACGCGTTACGTATTCCAAAATATCCCAAAAAGGCCAAAATGAGCATTTTAAATTTTTTTTGACCGGTTTAGGGTTTTGGCATGGCAGTGCCGTCGCCTACGGCGGTGTCTCCTCTCAGTCTAGCTATTTTCAACTGATTTTAGTTAGTTTTAGCCGGTTTTGCATGAAAACCTACAAAAAAGGGGGTTAGGTAGCCTCTGTCGGCCAAAGAAAGAAAAAACTAAGGCCTTACTAGTGGAGGAGTTTTTCCTATGCAGCGACTCCGTTGTTTTCCTCTCGCGGTCAAGACTTCTCTTAGGCTAATCTGCACCAGAAAGAGATGAGGAACACAAGGATTAAAGAATCAAAGGATACGAAAAATGAGAAAGGGTTCATCGGAGGGGTTTTGGGTCGTACCATGGCGGCTTGGCCAAGCTCTGCTCATGTTTTCTAGCTTACCCTTGACCTTTTGGCTTCGATATGGATGTAGATAAGTTTAGAATTGAATTTCGAATGAGAAGGGGGGGAAAAAATACCTTCCTAATATCAGTGGTGGCTCCGGTGCGGTGGCGACGACGATCGATTTCTTTCCGGCTGCTCTTCTTCTTCTTCTCCAGCAAGGATTGGTGCGACTAGGATTAAGGTTTCCTAGAATGCGAAGTTTAAATATCCTCTCTGAGTCAATTTGGGTTGTTCGTGCAAAGACACATGGCTGTCTCTTGTCCGTTGGATCTCTTTTATTTAAGGAATAAATCTAGGTCATACGATCATATTGAATCTGACTGTTCGATTACACCTAAAAAAAAAAATAGATCTGGATTGTCCATATGTGCCGGAGGAGATCTAGGCCGTAAGATCTACTCTCACACAGATCGCCCGCGTGGACACATGCCCATGTGTCTGCCACATGACGCACGACGACCGACAATGTTGCTGATGTGGCGGTCCACGTGGTTAAAATTTCATTATTTTTACTTTTACCTCAATTTTTCATATTTCTTTTCAAATTGGTCATCTCTTATTTCTACTTTAACTATGATTTTCGAAAATGGTTTTAAATGCATGCAAAACACAATTTTCTTAAAAAATTCACCAAAAATTTAAAACTAAATTATTTTAATTTATTTTATTGTTATTATTAAATTATCCAAAGTCTAATTTTCGAACTGGGTATTATACAATTAACCGTCTAAAAAAGAAATAAACAAAATGCACAGTTCGATTCAAACATATTTCATAAAGAGTAAAAAATAAAGTCAGATATTAAAGAAGTAATAGCAGATTATGATCTTTTAGGTAATTTTCTTTAAAGGCTAAAAGTTGAAGCTTAAGCAGTTCATCCTTCTTTTGCTAACTTGAAGTTTGACTTTATAATTATTATAATTTATTTCAAATTCAATTTTAACATCACCAATCACTTCGTAAACTCTTATTCTAAGTATTTGTTTTTTTAACTCATTATAGTAAAAAGGTGAAAAAAGAAAGAAAGATTCATTCTTTTCACCCTTCTTACCTTTTTACTAATACCCAGTAAATTCCTTTTCAACTCAAGAATCTTTCAGCCAGCCAAAACAGGCTCTTCAACTCTCCTATTCCAGAACCAAACACAGCCTTTATTTTTTAAGGCTCCCACAGACTCCCACAGTTCCTAAACAACGGAAAAGACTATATTAGCAACACACCCACCAATCAGCAGATAAGCAAATTATGCAGAATGTAAGTCAAAATGTTTTCAAGTGAGAATTCCTTCAGCTTTTGGCTGGTGGAGAGTTGAGCACCATGATCAACTCTTAATCATGATAAAAAGTTATTCCCCATATGCTCAATTGCAAATTCCACTCAATCCGAATAGCCCGAGCAGTATCTGACCAAGTCAGTCAGCTTGTGCTTTAGTACCAACATGAAAAGTTGAAGAATTCAACTGTAAAGCCTACTCTTTTCAGATATAACGATAAGAAAGTTCAGCAAAAAATTTGTAACTTTCAAGTCAGCTCATGGTTTTGTACCGATATGAAAAATAGAAGAATTCAACTTTAAAGCCTACTCTTTCAGATATAATGATAAGAAAGTTCGGCTAAAAGTTTGTAACTTTCAAGTCAGCTCATGCCCATATTTAGAGAGTTTGTAAAATCATGAACAATGAAAAATTTGCCTCGAATATCATTCTTTTCTTGTGTATTAGAAAGAAGTTTCATAGTACTTATTCGTTACAAACATAGTTCTGGTTCCTTGGACATTCCCACATGACATACAAGAAACAGTAAGTAAAGTAAATAGATAACAAAAAATAAGTCAGGAGTGAAGTAAATAGTGAATAAAGAATAAGTCAGCAGTTTGAATCAATGTAACAACTAAAGATAGTAATCAGATGGTACAAATCAAGGAGATAATGAACTGATTAAGATCAAAGAAGAGTATGTGAATAAATTAGACCGAGACAGCAAAATTCCCATCATGGAAAAACCTGGGAAATGTAATTCTAATCATTAAATTTAAGGACTAAGCCATACCGACAAGGGGGATGGTATGTTAGCTAGCCACTGTGATACACTATTGTATTCCTCTAAAGACAAGCAAGCTCTCCCACATGGCAAACTGGATATGTGCGAAGAAGCCCAAGCCAGAACGAGGAATTACACAGAATTTCCCCCCACAAAATTCAGGATCCCATCTACTTCTTCCCAGTAAAGAATTCCCTAGATTTTCTTCTGGTTATAGAATATACCATTAGCAGTGTCACACCACTCTCATCAACTATTCCAATGTAGCTGCCTTTCGTGCGAAGCACAATTTGAATCTTTGAAGCTATACAGTGAATACGGTGTGTGGATTAGGAACTCAGCCACTTTCTCTTTTACAGTTACCAGGCAATAGGTACTTGTACTTCTCTGCATTGGCCAATAAATATGCTGGTAGGTGAACAGCTGAATAAGAACGCGGGATAGGTCCCATCTTCCCGATTATTTCCTTAAATGTGTATTCTTCCGGAAGCATGTCAAATAGATCAGTTCCTCGGCATATTACATCCTGAATCCTCTGTGGATTCAGAAAATGAGAAAACCTCACCCGATCATAGTGGCTATATGCCTTCATCTTGAATGTGAACTCACTGATACGTCGGAAGCAAAAGCTACAATGCCAGCCTGCATCTGATAAGAGAATATCAGTCTGACGATAATGTGCATATCTTGTCTTTCCTGACTTATACCTATGAACCGAAGCTCTCCAGCTCTTATTGTCTATATAATACTCAAAAGAGTACAAGTAGTTCTTCAGCTGGAGATGAAGTACAGGGGGGATATCATCACACCAGCGTAAGAGATTGATGGTGTGGGCACTAGGGATTTCGTCAACATCAGACATTATCAGCAAGTCGTCATCTTCTATACCGGCTATTCTAAGAAGCTGGTCCAGGGCAACTCTCTGATATGCCTCTTCAACAAATGGATTTTCACCTTTCTTGAACCTCCCTCCAATCATCCCATAAGTCAGCCGAGGTTCCACAAACTTGAATTTGTTTCGATTGCTAGCAAAAACCAATGGTTTCGGTAAGCCAGTGAACGTTGAATTTGATTCAAGAATCACAAACTGAGTTATGTAGGGATACAACTCTTTCCACCGAACTGTCAGAATGTCCACTTCATTACTAAATAACACAGCATCATAAACTCGTCTAGGGGATTCACGAATTCCCCATCCGTGCAACTTGCAAAGATTCTGCATAGACATGTTCTCGTGGTAGTAGTGTGGAATTGCACGGAAGGGCTTGGGAGGAGATTCCCATATTGGCCTTAAAAAATAAGAGATCTTCTGTCCATGTAAGTACATGGCAAAGATGCACAATGGCACAACCACAAACAAAAAAATCAGAGCCTTCATATCAAACCCGTGTAAAATACACCGGAGTCTTGACAAGCTCAAAGCTGCTCGAGATCCCTGCTGCAATAAAAAACCAAACTTTCTAAGAATTAAACATATCCAAGTCAACCCCTTTTTTCATATTCATACCACTAGTTACGCAAATTCAACAACACAATCTACCAAAAGATGATCCCAAAAACTACAAACACAAATTTGGGATTATAATGAACAATCGCAGGAAATTAAAGTCAAAACTCATTTCTATTCAAGAAACTCAAATGTGTTTNCGAGCACAAAAGCTGAAAAGAAAATTCAAAATAGTAAAATACCCTTTTGTATAACCTTCCAAAAAAACCCAAAAAACATAAACAACAACCAGGCAAATTCTTCAAAATAATTAAAAATTAATTAAAAACCCAAGTACCTGGCCGCAAACATCCTCGCAAATATCATCAGTTTTCTTGGAATTATAGTACCCATCCGCCATGATTATCACCTCCCCTAATCACAATCTTCAAAATTCTATAATACCCACTAATCAAAACAACAAATGCAGACCCAAATCTCCTTCTCTGTTTTCAAAAACGAAAACGAGAAGATCCCTCAAACCCAGATCAACAATAATCACCCTCCTCACAAACCCAAACCCATAAACAAAAAATCTGGCAAATAAACAACCAACAAAACGATATCTTTTTTCTTCTTCTTCTTCTTCTTCTTCCTTCTCTGCCTATAAAACTAATTATAGCCGTTTGCTGGTTTTTCGCTCTTAGACAGACAGACAGCTATGGCGTCCCTCGCTCTTTCTCCCTCTCTCTCCTCGCTTTATTCTAAATAACTGGAAGAATAGACACAACCCATCAAAACTATATATACAGCTTTATAACCCTTCAAATTTCGGGGAATTTCCGAATTCCCTTATTATTCTAACTCACAAAAAATATTTCCTTTTTAAAAAATCAAAACTTTTTTTTAAAAAAATAATAATAAAAATAATCAGCGAAATCTAATAGAATACAGCATATACCTTCTCCTACTTGAATTTTAATTTTATTTTCCAAAATTCTCAAAGTCCTCTAATCGGACGGCTGATATTCGGAGTGAGTAAGTTCCAATTTATCTAGAGCTCCAAATTTACTGAAAATCTCTGAAGTTTGATCGGACGGTTGAGAATGCACACGCGTGGAGTTACTGTGTGAGTGGTTATGCCCGTGACCGTGTCTCTAAAGCAGTTAGCAAAAACATGCTTGAGCCCACCTTAAACACGGTGAAAAGTAAATCTTTGTTTCCTATGTTGTCCGTTTACTACTTTGCCCTTACTAATTATATAATGATCTGAGGGTATTTTGGTTATTTAAGTCTTACTCAGTGTAGCCATCGTGTGGGGTCAATTTTCTGGCGCCCAGTTTTGACGTGGTCAAAATCTTAATTTACTGTAATTATACGAGTATAAATGATAAATTAAATATTAAAATTGTTAAAATTATTTTTTAAAATGTTGTAAATTTTAATTTTAGTTTAAATTATAGTTTTATCCTCCGTGATTTAGTTTTTTTACGGCTCAAATATATATATATATTTATATATACTTTTTTGACAGTTTTGTATATTCTATTTTTTTAATTTCCATAAAAATTATTTATTTTATATTATTTTATTTTCCTTTAATTTCAACTTTGAAGTATTTAATTTTGGATTTATATGTAACGACATCGAAAATCCAAAAATAAATATATAATAACTTAAGTGTGGAATCGAAATAAAATATTAAAGTTTACATTTCTTACACAATAATTTAAAATTACTAAACAACATTACGAAATTAATTCTTTGAAATAAATACGAGAAATAAAGAAACACATAAAAAATAAAAAATATCTAGCATTTACTCGCAATCTTCTTGCGGATCGGACTCTAGAACCTGATCCTCTTGATTTGAAATGGTTAAATAAATGATGAGCTACACTAACCCAGTAAATATATCACACTATATCACAAACAAATAAGTAAATGTTGGTATACAATCGAAAACTACTAATAGAACATTAAATTTAGTTAATTCATTTATCAATAATAAAATCATTTCTCATTCACTTACCACAGTAGAATTTATGAAAACAACCTATAAAAAAATAATATCATACAGATCATAATTTCATGAACAATCAGTAACATAAAGCATATTATAAATTCATATCCATTAACAATAACTCAAACCATAACTGTTTCTCTTTTCACAAGCCTACTAGTATCAATGAGGGTTCATAGAGATGTCCCTGCTACACGTGAACTATTTCCTTTAACAATCTCAATTATAAAGACATCCTCATACCCCGTCCGGTATGAGCGCTAAATCATTAAATCTCAATACACCGTCCGGTATGGGAGTGAAGTAGGCTGTCCCCATACCCCATCTGGTATGGGCGCTAAATTATCAGGTCTCCATACCCCGCCCGATATGAGACAGCATCTACGGTAGGGTTCCCTATGTACCCGGTCCGTCCACCATCTCCCAAGATATCCAATAAGGCTGTCGTTCAATCTATTCATTTAAATCATACAATTTCCTTACCATTTAACATTATATTTTTTCCGATTCAGCAGTAAACACATCAATTAAACATACATGCATTCAAGACCATAAAATAAATTAGATACCATCATGCATATAAACTGTAAAATCAATCAACAAACAGCAGTAGATAATTTTCGATTCCGGCTCCATTAGCAATCCGTAATTAATTATGCATAATTACTAAAATCACAAGAAATACCATATTATTATTTACTTAAATTTAACTCTATAATAGGGAATAATGTGAGGGATCTTTACTCGATTTGATGCCAAAAAGCTAAACAGTTTACTGCGCCTACAGGCGGTCTTTGGGTTCCCTGAATTTTTTCTTCGGAAACTAAAACGCGCTTATAGTACCTACAAATGTTCCAAATAAACCTAAAATCAGTCATAGGGTCCACTCGGCCAATTTAAAAAATCCGACATGGCGGCTACGCCGTGCTCCGGCGACGGTGATCCGCCTCGGACTGGCTGTTTTTGGCCGTTTAATGTCGAATTCAACCGATTTTGCTTCAATCCCTGCGATAAAACACACTTAGAGGCATTGGTTGACCAAAAAAATACAGAAAACTGAAACTCACCGGCGACGGGGCGTTCCAGTGCGACGGCTCCTCTGGCTCACATTGCGGTTGGGTGTTTTGCTCCGGTCAACCTGTAGAAAAAAAAACGGTGATCACAACAGTGGAAAGATTACGTCGAACAAGAATCGGGAAGGGTCTCATCGGAGGCATTTTGTGAAATTCTTCGCGACGGCGCCGCCAAGCTCCAACGGTATTTTTCGACCAATTGGCCAGTCTTTTTACTCTGATTTGACCATGAGTGAGTTTAAAATTGAATTTCATGCAAAAAGAAAGTTTTTACCTTTTTTGGCAGTCGGAAAGGGTCCCGGTGCAGCAGCGGGTGGCAGCGGTCGGCTCCCTGATGACTGGGTTGTCTTCTCCGGCAAGGGGTTCTGGTGGCTGGTGCGGATGGGGGGTTATTTATATCCATCCACTTTTGATCTAAACCGTCCATCGCGTTTGATCTGAACTGTCCGATCACAATTAAATAGGAAGTGAATCTGGACCGTTCATCGCGATTCAATATGGATCGTCTATTGCGATTCACTTTAGGCGATCCTATCGCGTTTGAATCTAGCCATTCGATCGCGTTTAAGAGGGAGTGCATCTAGGCTGTCCATGCGCGCGGGAACGGACCTCAGTCGTTCGATCGCGGACACGCGGATCGCCCACGTGCCCCCCCTCCCACGTCAGCGTCTCTGTTACTCGGCGCATCCTGGTTGGTTCGGGTTGCTAACCCGACGCCTGACGTGGTAAAACTTTTTAAAATTGCATTTTGGCCAATGTTTTTCGATTTTTCTTTCAAAAATACCCCTAAAACCTAAATTTTCACCTCTTTTTCCCAAAATTATTTTTAATTAAATCTTCTTTCAATTTTATTTCATTTTTTACTCTAAATTAAATAAAACAAAATATATTAAAATAAAGTAAATTAATAAAATTTATATTTATTAATTATTTAATCACCATAAAAAATTTGTGGTGTTCACATCTAATTTTTTTTTAGTTTTAAAAGCACTTTTACAAACAAATTTGTAATAAATAAATAAAATATACCTTTATCAAATTTTAACACAAAAAATATAATTTGTAATCTCCAAAAAATTATTTTAGTTTTTAATAAAAAAAATTAACTTGAATCTTGATAATTATTTTTATTAAAAATATAAATTTATTTTTTATTTAAGTATTCTATTTAGCACGCACAAAATAATTTTTTACCAAAAGTATTTTAGTAAAATATTATTTTAACATCAATTTTGAAATTCATAGAGATTGCATGTAACGGCCCCCGAAATAAAAATGAGATGTATATATTAAAAAGTTCTAAGTGCGAAAGCGAAATAAAAATTCTGATTAACATCCCTTACACAATAACCAAAAAAATATATTCAACGTATGAAAGAATAAACTAACTAAGGTAAATACTAGTAATGAATGCTATAAATAAAACTATGAAATCCTTAGACGTCTACTCGCCGTCTTCCTGCGGAACGAGCTCAGGAACCAAATCCTCCTGATCTGAAATGGTTAAATAAGGAATGAGCTACACTAGCCCAGTAAAGACATCACACTATCTCACTGTCACATAAGTAAAGGTTGGTAGAAAATAAAAACGACCAATCGAGCATAATTCATGATAAATTTATTTATCAATAATAAAACCATTTACTATCCATTTACCTCGGTGAGCTTCATGAAAACAACATAAGAAAATAATAACATTATAATATCATGAAATTATACACACTTTATAACATAACACATATCATACCTATGCATTTCTATCATTAGACAACAGATTTTCCTCTTTTATCAGCCTACTAGTATCTATGGGGATCCATAGGGGTTCCCACTACACGTGAACCATTTATATTGATAACTTGATTCAGGGCTGTCCCCATACCTCGTCTGGTATGGGCGCCAAAAATCATAACCCTCAATACCCTGTTCGGTATGAGGGCGAAACGGGCCGTTCCCATACCCCGTCCGGTATAGGCGCCAAAACATATAAGGTCTCCATACCCCGTCCGATATGAGAGACCACGTTCTCGGTAGGGTTTCCTACGGACCCGGTCCATCCACCATCTCCCAGGATATCTAGTTAGGCTGTCGACATCATCCATTTATCAATTCACATACCTTTTTCTATTTTTCTTGGTCTCAATTATCCAATCAAACATAAACACGTAAACTAGTAATGAACACCAAACAAGACAACCACGGGTTCACAATAATTCAAACCATAATAAACGAAATCGTAATTCATGCACAAGAAGCCATAAAATAAATACATCAAATACCATACTGCATTTAAAACTGTAAAATAGATCAAACAACAACTGACCGAAAAATATATTAGATTCGGGCTCCATTACCAACCTTAATTAATTATACACAATTCATGAAATACCGTTTTATAATTTATTGAGCTTTAATACCATGATAGAAAATAGAGTGAGAAATCCTTACTTGTTTCGGAGTTTGAAATCGGCTTTACACTGCGCCTATGGGCAGTCCCTAGATTGCCTAAATTATTTTTCGGGAACTAAAACACACTTCCGGTACCTACATGTGTCCCGAAAAAACTCAAAATCAGATCCAGGGCCTACTCGGCCAATTTCAGAATTCCAGCATGGTGGCTTCACTGTGCTCTGGCGACGGCACTGCCGCCCGCGGCGGTGTTTTCGGCCGAATTTGGTCAAACT